CCACAAGCGGCCTATCTTCACGCCCACGGCCCAAAAAGGAACCATGCAACTGCTCGTCATTAGTACCATTGAAGAAAGTCCAAGAGGGCACGTCCGAAGGTGGGGGGGGGGGGTAGCCGTCCAAGCCTTCGGGATCATGCCTCTGAGCCAGTAGCAAGCCTCGCTCTCGTGCAACGTCTGAGCGCGCGGGGCCAGGTCGTCGGAATCGACAAAGGCCTTCGCACTCCTATTGCACGCGCAAGTCCAGAAGCGGTGAAACGCTGTCTCAGCACCGTCGTGGCACCGATGGCATTGAACATCTATCTTGGTTCTGGTCTCGTCGCCGACTCGCTGCCGTGGCCAGAAACCCCCTGTAGCTATGTTGACCATGACCTCCGCGAGCCTATGGCCGTTCTTGCACAAGCGGAGACCCTGGATGAACTTACGGTAGCTATAATTGTCGACACCGTCGGCCATCCCCTCCCCGCAATAGTGAATAGACGCGCGAGACCAGCAGCTAGCTTGAAATGCGGATTCAAAATCGTCAAGAATGTCTGAGTAGTCCTCAAAGCCCGAGAGGTCGGACTCCGAAAACCTCCACGTGAAATCAGGGGTGTCCCAGAGGTTCGGCGCCTGCGGGTCCCAGCCAGCCTCCAGAAGGTATCCAATAATGGCCGCTATGGGCCCCCTGATCTGCCGAGAAACCTGCGACGGCGATATGCTACGAAGTTGTTCGACGATACGGGGCCACACCAAATTAACCATAGGCCGAATAGCTGGAGTACTGAACCAGACAGACAGCCATGAACGAAGAGCATCTCTAGGAAACTTAACTCCTGGATCTTGCCCTGGAACTTTGAGATCGAGAAGAGTGGTGAGGCATCTCCCTTTGGCCTTAGAACCCAAAGAGGCCCCAAGACGACGACGAAACTGCTGGCGATAACATCCAAACGCTCCGTGCACTTGGTGGCCGTACGATCCTGCAGCCTGGGCGCCAGCTCTCTCTAGCCGACCTGTCACAAGGTATTGTTTGGACGCGCGGGCAAAATGTCGAATCTTGGCATTCATACCTCTGGCTTTCGCCTGCCGCTTGTATCGTGCCTGCCTAGCTGGCCGACCGTTCCCAAGGTCCACGCCGAGATACGGGGCTTGCCGTACAGCAGATACACTGATGCCTACCTTCTGCAGCTGCCGTGAGACAAAACGCCCGTCTGCGGGTCTGGAACACATCAGCACACTTTTAGGCGACGCCTTGAGACCAACCTCGCCGAGCTTGTTGCATGTATCCCGAAGAACGCGAAACAGTTGAGCTCTGACAATGCGACGTGACCCAAGGACCCGTTGAGAAAGATCGTCAATCCAGATCCGCATCGACATGCCCACGTGGGCCGTCGAAATCTGCTGGAGAATAACATATACCATGCAACGTGCAAAGCGGGTGCCTCCTCGTAATCCTTGCACGATACTTCGCGACGGTTGAAAAGCTTGAGAGAAGCTACCATCTTGGCCAAGGGTCCTTGGGCACATACAGTTTTGAAGTTCAAGGGCCAGAACCGCCGGGGGGAAGTTCAGCTTCAAAGCAGTACGCACCAAAACAGCCCACCCAATGGAATCGTAAAACCCCTCCACGTCAAGGAGCCCATGGCCGTTGTCCGTGCCGAGCTTGAAATATGCTTCGTCATGAAGCGCACGGAGGAATGCTTCACGAAGCGCAGAGTTTCCTCGGACGGCCGCGTCCCACGCGGGCTCTGCCGAGGAAGACCAGGAGCGGACGTCTTCTTCACGGGCCAGTGACCACACTCTAGTGAGCATGGTCAAAAGCCCGATCACCCTGTCCCCTCCCGGCTTCTTCGGCAGTAGCCGACCTAGGACCATCAGCACTTGCCAAGGCCATGTCAGCTGGGCCTCACAGGCCTCAAAAAGAGAAGTGAGATGCTCGATCCCCTCGTCGGGAAGCCGCTGGATATCGACTGGCGACATCTGGTCGATACCCTGGCCAGCCCGAGCCTTCATGCGCGTGGTGGCTCTGAGGACTCGCTCTGGCGTGAGAGGTGGCAGCTGCTCGTCGTCGCGGGCCGCCTGGATCTCGCAAAAAGGGCTGATACCTCGCAGAGATTCACTTCTGACGGACTCCAAAGTTTGTGCCATTTCCTAGCCTTGAGATCGACGCTATCCCCGGGGTGAAAAATAACCTCCCCCCCCGAAGTAAGCTCGAACGGAGGGGGGGGGGGTGCAGAGGGACTTGTGCAAAACACCAACAGCGGGAGCCGACAGGACCCAGACCCGAAACTCTTCCAAGGATGATTGGAGCTCCCTCCGCCGGGCACGACCAGCAACTTGTTTAGCAACAGAGGCTAGGTGAGAAAGCTTGGCAATAGGCACCTTGTCGATGCTCGTGAGATAAGTTTGCCAGAGAGACCATGCTCCATCCGCGGGGTCCAGGCTCGCAAGAGGCAAGTGCACGCTGTCGGGGATGTCTTGCGCAAGATCTTTACACGCACGCTCAAGACGACTGCGCTGAAGCCGACCATTAGATTTGGTAAGATGATGATGGATATTGTGCAAGACGGTGTATACACGACCCCACCAACACGCAACCATACCATGCAGCGGTTTCTGGCGCACTTTATCCAAAACGTGAACCTGAGCCTCCTGAAAAAGAGGACCATGTCCCCTGGATCGTCCATCCTGAGAAAGCCCATGCTGTTCCTGAATAGCGGATTCGACCGTAGAAACCATTGCTCGTAAAGCGCAGTGACACCCAAGATACGCCCTCCACCTGCAGCAAACGCGGCTGAATCTCGAATGACTGGCCAGACACTGCCGTAGTCACGGACAGGAATGTAGCCCACCTCCTGCTTAGCCGCGGCCCACGTCTCTGGAGAGATGCGGAAGCCAGGCGGGGGAGGGAGAGGAGGAGAGGAGACTGGATCCCTGGGGGTGCTATCCTCCTGACTGTCAGCACTTACGGGGGCTGGGGGCTCTTGATTATCATCCGCGGGCTCGTGGAACTCATCAGCAGCCTCTCCGACTGCAGGGAAGAGATCATCATCTTCGCTCGGGGCACGAGCCCCAGGTGGAGGACCCAGGAGGGAGGACAGAGACAGGGGAGCGCCAACACTCTCCTCATCGCCGTCGCCACCTTCAGCTCCACCAGCGGCAGGCGCTCGAGAGTGCGCAGACTGACTGACTTGCAAGCCCTGCTCGTGCAGGTCACCATACAGCTCGTCGTATTGCTCATCGGCAGAGGCCCTGGCAGCCAGCCGTCGCTCGTTGGCCGCGGCTTTGCTCTTACTGGACTTCGACCCAGGCACGGGCATGGCTTTCGGCCTCGGGACCTGCGGAGGCTTCCGCGCCATTTTGAGCTCTCGACAAAGCAGCTGCTGGGCGGAGGACCTCAACCGAACGATAAGCCCGCAGTGGGGCCTCCACGGGACGTCAAGGCACCCTTCGACAGAGATGATATAAGGGATGCTAGAGGCGCTGGCGACGATGTAATCGATATGAGTGCCGCCGCCGAGCGCACACGTGTATGCGAGGGGTGCCTGAAAGACGACACCTCCCACTCTCTCCAAGAACCCGACTCGTTGCAGCGCAGGGGGGGGGGAGGAGGAGGAAGGGAGGAGGAGGAGGAGGAGGATGAGGGAGGAGGAGGAGGGAGGGGAGGAGGAGGAGGAGGAGGAGGAGGAGGAGGAGGAGGAGGAGGAGGAGGAGGATGAGAGGAAGAGGAGGAGGAGGAGGAGGAGGAGGAGATGAGGAGGCAGGAGGAGGAGGAGGAGGAGGAGGAGGAGAGGAGGAGGGAGGAGGAGGAGGAGTGCGGAGGAGGAGGGGGAGGAGGAGGAGGCGGAGGCGGAGGCGGAGGCGGAGGCGGAGGAGGAGGAGGAGGAGGAGGAGGAGGAGGAGGAGGAGGAGGAGGAGGAGGAGGAGGAGGAGAAAGAGGAGGAAGAGGAGAAGGAAATGCTCTGCCGTAGTAGCAGATCCCCATAGGTACGCGCGCTCTCCGTAGCAGATTCCTATAGGTATCTGCCGTCCTCGCTGTCTGTGGCTATCCTTGAGCACTCCCTGACGACGCTGGCGCGAAACGTGACGTTACCACGGGGATCCACGGGGGCACGGGGGGAGGGCCAGGGCCAGTAACGGCCGCCATCGCGAAGCATAGAAGACGCTCTCGAACTGGCCCTGGGGCACGGGTCTGGACCTCCGGGGACCGCGCCCCGAACAAAAACAAGACGTGGCAGGTCTGCGGAGACCTCGACGGGCAGCGGATATGGACAGGTTCGGGCCCCATGGGGCCCAGATATATCCACATCCGCCACCCGCTGGGGTCCCAGGACGTCGGTTCCACGGACGGTGGATCAAGACATGGATATGGACCTTGATCGTATGTATATCTATTTGAATAAACCCGTAGGAAGCGTTGCGGATTTGGGGGGATCCCCGGTTCCCCGAGCGCCCCGGGGAGCCCGAAACGGCACCCGAGGGTCCCTGGAGGGCCCCGAAACGGCACCGGAGCTCCCCAGAAGAGCCCCGAGACGGCCCAAGGAGGCACCGAGACGACCAAAGACGGCCCCGACTTGACCCAAGATGGCCCTCCGACGGCGCCAGATTCCCAAGGCGGCCCCATAACCCGCCAAGGCGCCCCTAGACGGCTCTAAGCAACGGGCTTCCTACGGATGCTGAGATTCTCGCGCTTTCGACCGTCTGGACTCCCAAGACGGCCTAAGAGGCCTTCAGGATCGCCCCGAGACGTCCCAAGAGGCGGCCAAGAGAGCCCCGGCCCAAGAGGTCCCCAAGATGGCGCAATAAACCGCCAAGAGGCCTCCAAGACGGCCCAACGAGCTCCCCAGAGGCCCCCAAGACAGGCCAAGAAAGGGCCGAGTCTGCCCACGAGGGCCCCAAGACGGCTGAAGATGGTGTCAAGACGGCCACGGAGGGCCCAGGTCGCCCCAAAAGAGTCCACGAGGACTTCCAAGAGGGCCCGAAGAAGCGAAAATCATTAATTTCACATTGGTTGTCGATCGCAAACTGCTGATTGCTGGCATTTGCGCGCCAGAGACAGAAGCGCGCGTCGGCAAACTTCGACTCACGCATCTCCGAGGATTTAACCCTCGGGTCCACACTAGTATACATATACACATATTTGTGTCTATGTATGTCTGTGTGTGTGTGTGTGTGTGTCTGTCTGTTGTCTGTCTGTATGTCTTTCTGTATGTCTGTCAGTCTGTCTGTCTGTCTGCCTTTCTGTCTGTATGCATGTATGCATGTATGCATGTATGCATGTATATGTATGTGTATGCATGTGTATGTATGTGTATGTATGTGTATGTGTGTATGTGCGTATGGGTGGATGTGTTTGCGTATGTGTGCATGTATGCTTTTTTATATATGTCCATGTGCATATTTTTTATAGAAGTGTAGTCATCTACGTAATCGAGGTTTTCGCGCTCTGTCCCTGGCCCCCTCTCTGTCGCAGTGGATTTTCTCATAATTATGTTGGGGCACGAATTTCAGAGTTATGTTTGGGCGCGAACCTGTTGCAGTTTCAAAATCTGGTTTCGGCAACGCGTATCTGGAATACTGAACTAAGGATTCTGGCTTCGAAAGTGCGAATCACGAGTCACGTGCAAGGGATTCTGGTTTCGGGGGCACGTGTCACGTATAATGTCCGAGGAATCGTGGCCGCGGGGGCGCGAATCTGGTGTAATTTGAAACCGGCTTTGGTTTCGGGAGCGCGAGCGTGGCGCAAATCTGGCTTCAGCTAGAACTCGTGAGCTCGAATCTGGCTTCAGCTAGACTGGCGTCATTTCCGAGGACCACGTTTCGGGAACTCGAATCCGGTGCAATTTACGTCGCCTTCTGGCCTTCGGGGCGCGAGGTACGCGTTAGGTGCGGGGGATTTTGATTTCACGAAGGCGAGCCACGTGCAGTTCAGCAAGGGCTCTCGTGGCTGCGGGGGCGCGCGCCCTGCATAGCTTGTGCTGCAAAGCTCTGGCCTTGGGAGCGCGGGCCTGGCGTAGCTTACGAAAAGTGTCTGCCGTCGGCCGGGGGCCCGAATCTTGCGTGCTCTGCGAAGGATTCTCGCCTCGCGGGCGCGAGCCAGTGCGTCATGCACGAGGGATTGTTTGCCTCGGGGGCGCGCACTGGGTTTGCTTTTACGTGTCCCTGCGCCCTCCCAGGGGATTCTGAGAACCCCAGGGAGGAGGGTGGTTTTCGGCTCGCCCCCCTCGCGCGGGCAGCAAACAAACGACATCTGCAAGCGCGAAGTAGAGCTATGATATTGGGACTTGGGAACTGGAAGCTGCACTGGAGTTGCTAGTGGGGCCCCCGAGCTCAGGACTCCCACCTGCGTCTCTCAAACCCGAGCTTTGCAGCCTGGTGGCCCCGCAAGGGGGGCGGCGGATATATCGATATTTTGATTATAAATATGCTCTTTCAGACAATATTATGAACGTGTTTGCACAGCTGTGTTCAATTACTCTCTAGTCATGTATACGTACATCCATACATGTATGCATGGGCATCTGCATGTCTGTATCTGTATATACATACACACAGGTACATGTGTGTATACCCCCGCCTCGCACCGAGGCCCGCGGCGGCGCCCTCGCCGACGCCCTCGCCGGGAAGATCCAGGTGCACGTCTCCATCCCGAGGTCGGCGGGTGGAGGGAGAGGGAGGGAGAGAGAGATGAGAGAGAGAGAGAGAGAGAGACAGAAAGAGAGAGAGCGGCGCAGGCGTGAGCTCGCGGCGGTCCGCGCGGGTGTCGCGGCTCGGCGCGGGCTCGCCCCGTCCCCGCGCGGCGGCGCCGCGTGCCAGGGGGGGGTCCAGGGCCGACCCGACAACACCCCCGCGGACCTGCGCGTGTGCCTATGCAGATTCACGTCCTCCTGCGAGGGTGACGGTGGCCTACAATGGCGCGCCGCCGCTGGAGGTGAGCCTGGCGTCGTGCCTCGGGCAGGACAGGATCCGCCACTTCCTGGACCGCAACCTGCTCCCGCACCTGGAGCCGCTGTGGCTGCGCATGGACGACCTGGACGAGGCGCCAGACGGCACCAGCAAGGAGCTGGGGTTCGACGGACGGGAGGGTTTCGAGAGCCCGCACCCTGCCAGGCCGATTCGCGAGTGGCGCTGTCTCTCGAGAGAGGGTGTGGCGGCCGCAAGTTTCGCGGGCATGCGTCTGCCAGGTCTGGTCCGTGGTCGTCTCCATTCGTGGGTGTTTTGCTAAGGGGTTGGTGCCCACCCCTGAAAGGAGAGCGTCCATGTATAGACATACGCTTTCGAAGATCCACGACGATTTCTTGGATCTATGCTGGACCCCCTCTGGCGGCGCCTCCAGCACCGATCCATCAAATCCGCGTGGATGTTTGAAAGTCTTTGCTTACGACTGTTTATGCAGTTTGTTCTTCGGTTCGATCAGTTCAGCTGCGTCGCGATCGAGTGCGTTCGGTCGGTCGGGGTCTGTCGGTTGTTGCGTCGTCGCTGCATCGCTGCGCACTTCTCGGCTACTTCCAGTAGTGTCGGTGTTGGCCGGTTTCGGTTTTGCTGTCGGTTTGGGCGGTTTTCGGTTGTACTGTTGACGTGGACGGCCTTGACAAGGAGGCGTACAGCGCGAAGATTATGGACGCGCTCGCGCAGTCCATTCAAGTCTTCGTCGCGAAGGCCTCACCCCTCCTCTCTCCTCCATCCTCTCCCTCCCCTGCCCCATTTTGCTCCCCCCATTCATCCCTCCTCCCTCCTCCCTCCCTCCCCTCCTGCCTCCTTCCCTCCTTCCCCCATTACCTTCCGCAATTACTCAATCCGAGTACTAGTATCCGGCTGCGTCCTGAAAGTATCCCATACCTTCGCGTCTTTGGCACAGGACTTCATATATTGTGTATTCCATGTGTACACACGCATGTGTGTATGTGTGCATGTATGGATTTAATGGATATTTGGATGTATGGATGTATGGATGGATGATTGTCTCTATGTGTGCATACATGTATGTTTGTATGTATGTCTGTATGTATGATTGCATGTATGTGTGTGTCTGCCTGTCTGTCTGTCTGTCTTTCTGTATGTGTATATATATGTGTATGCATACATGTATGTCGGTGTGTCTGTCTTTCTGTCCGTCCGTCCGTCCGTCTGTCTGTCTGTCTGTCTGTCTGTCTGTCTGTCTGTTTGTCTGTCTGTCTGTCTGTCTGTTTTTGTCTGTTTGTCTGTCTGTCTGCATGCATGCATGCATGTATCGCTTTTGTATGTCTGGCTGTCTGTCTGTCTCTCGGTCTGTCTTTCTGCCTGACTGTCTGTCCGCCTGTATGTATTATTCATTTCATTACTATCTTTTGCATGGCCAGTGCTAGTATGATCATCATAAGATTCGTTACTAGTACTACCACTCTTATCATCTCTCTGATTCCCAGTCGTAGTGCTCGTACGAACATCACACTTATTGTGATTACTATTTGTAGTACCCGTATCATAGTTTCCTTTGAAACATAGTCGTAAGACTACCATTGCTACCAGTATTGCTTTTCTTCGTATCATGATTAAGTGTATCAGTAATGTTGTTGTTGTTAGTGATACTATGATTGATGTATTCTTATTTTTCCTAATGTTATAAATATTGCACTCGGAATGTTTTCGAGGTTTCAAAACGGTGTTCCCGCTGCAACGTTGGGCCTTATTCCAGGATCGGTGCCCGCGCGGGCCTCGTTTCTTGATCAGAATGCTTCCTCGTTTCCCGCCCCCCACCTTCTGCTCCTCCCGCCCCTCCCGCTCCTCCTGCTCCTGCTGCTGCTGTTCCTCCCCGTCCTCCTTCGTCCTCCTCCTTCGTCATCCCCCTTGGTCATCCTCCTTCGTCATCCTTCTTCGTCATCCTCCTGCTCATCCGCCACCCTCTCCCCCAATGTGCACATCTCCCCTGTTCAGATTGCGCACCTCGTGTCCTCTCGGAGGCACGGGGGGGCGCCAGGCCCGGTGGGACCCCCGTCGGCGCACGTGGGACAACCAGCACTGGGCAGAGATGCGTAGGAAGGGGTGGGACGTCAGATGTGGCGCGAGCGCGCCTAGCTTGCCCTTCCCCCCCCTTCGCCCCCCCCGCCGCCTCCGCCAACGCCGCCGCCGCCGCCGCCGACGACGGCGCGCTCAGGCGGCCAAGAGCACCCCGGACGACCCTGGCGGCGCGCCCCAGACCGCGGCCGCCCCGCCGGAGCTCGTGGGCGGCGGGGGCGCGCCGCTAGGCCTCCCGGGGGGCGCCCGAAAAACCGCAGCGCGCCCCCGCGGGAGCCCCCCGATCCACCCTCCCCCTTTCCCCTTCTCCCTCTTCCCCCCGCCCTCCCCCTCCCTCCCCTCCCTTCCCCCCGCCTCCCCTGTCCCCTTCCCCTGTCCCCCCCTTTCCCCCTCTTTCGTTCTTCAATCTCCCGTGTCCTTCCCCTTGCTTCCCTTCTGCATTTGCTTGCTTCTGGCAAGACGAGGACGAGGAGGAGGCGGAGGAGGAGGGGGGGAGGTGGAGGAGGAGGAGGAGGAAGGGGGGGGGGAGGAGGGCAGGAGGAGGAGGAGGAGGCGGAGGAGAGGAGGAGGAGGAGGAGATGAGCAGGAGGAAGGAGGGAGGAGGAGGAGGGAGGCGGAGGAGGCGGAGCAGGAGCAGGAGGAGGTGGAGGAGGAGGAGGAGGAGGAGGAAGAGGAGGAGGGGGAAGGGATGGATAGAGTGGCAGTGGATGGGTGTTGATCACCCGAGGCGTCTGCGGGCCCCTGGGCGTCGCGCCGCGGGCCTCCGACCCTGCTCACGGCCCCGTGCCCGAGGCGAGCAAGCTCCTGCTGCTCCGCCCTCCTCCCCTGCTCCCGCCGTCGGGCGGTTTGGTTGTGGAGGACGAGCACCTCGAGGGGCCTTAGCTTCCTGTGCCTTTCACGGGCGAAGAGCGGTGTAACATAAGCTTTTTCGCCGTCGGGGGCACCTGCCCCAGGGCGGCTGGAAAGTTTATACCCCTACGGTGCCACCGTAAGGGTATAAACTTTCCAGCCGCCCAGGGGCAGGTGCCCCCGACGGCGAAAAAATATATGTTATACCGTTCTTCGCCCGTTAAAGCTTGCCCGCTGGCACTCCCGTGCGGGAGGTGCTCGGGCTCCTATTGTTCTTGTCGGGCGTTGCTTGAGCCTGCCTGCGTTGCCGTGCACGCCTGCGGTCGCGCCTGGATAAACGTCTGGCGGCGACTTCCAGCAGGGCCTGACGTTTCGATGACTCCGCGCCTGCCTCTCGACGAACGCAGACGGCATGAGCAGAAACTTTCGCAGCTCCGCGCGGATTTTCTGGATCCGTGCTGGAGCCCCCTGGCGCGCTCCGCGCGCCAGGGAGGGGGGTTCAGCGCAGATCCAAGAATCCGCCAGGAGCTCCGAAAGTTCGTGTGTATGCACACACACTTATATATTCCTATTCATATGCTTTTATAGGGCTGGGGACCAAGCGAATTTCGAATCCTCGGGCCTGCCTTGCGCCTTTGGTTTTCTCTCATTTTCGACTCTCCGGGACCTCTTGGACCAGCCTTAGGCCTCTTTGGGGCTCGTCCGGGGACTCATTTGGAGCCGTCCTGGGGCTATTTCGACGCCTCAAGAGTCGATCGTCAGCGAAAAGGCGAGAAGGCCAACAACATTGTTTTTGCAATGGGTTTTCATTGATTTCCAATTCTCTTGTCCTTCTTGGGCCAGCCTTGGGCCTCTGTGGGGCTCGTCTGGGGACTCATTTGGAGCCGTCCTGGGGCTGTCTTGACGCCTCAAGAGCCGATCGTCAGCGAAAAGGTGAGAAGGCCAAAAACATTGATTTTCCAATGGTTTTTCATTGAATTCCAATTCTTTGGGCCTTCTTCGGCCAGCCTTGGCCTCTGTGGGCCTCGGCTTGCGCCTCTCTGGATCCATCCTAGGGCTATCTTGACGTCTCCCTAGCCGACCGGAAGCGACAAGGCGCAAAGACCGAAAACATTGCTTGTCCAATAGTTTTTCTTATTGATTCTCGAACCTCCAGACCCTCTAGGGCCAGTCTGTGCCCTCTTTGGGGCTCGTCTGGGTGCTCAGTTGGAGCCGTCCTGGGCTTTTCTTGATGCCTCAGGAGCCAATCGGAAACGACAAGGCGAGAAGACCAACACATTGATTTTCCAATGGATGATCACGGATTTTCAATTCTTTGGGCCTTCTTTGGCCAGCCTTGGGCCTCTGTGGGCCTCGGCTTACGCCTCTCGGAGCCCATCCTGGGGTCATTTTGGCGCCTCTCGAGCCAACTGGAAAGGAAAAGCGAGAAGGCCGAACACATTGCTTTTCCAACGGGTTTCTCTGATTTCCGACTCTCTGGGCCCTGTTGAGCCAGCCTTGGGCTTCTTTGGGGCTCATCTGGGGACTCATTTGGAGCAGTCCTGGGGCTGTCTTGACGCCTCAAGAGCCGATCGTGAGAAGGCCAACAACATTGATTTTCCAATGGGTTTCAATTCTTTGGGCCTTCTTGGGCCAGCCATGGGCCCCTGTAGGGCTCGAAGCCGGCAGCCCAGCAGCGCGCATGCCGAAAATAGCATATTTTGTAGGAGGTGGAGGAGGAGGAGGAGGAGGAGGAGGAAGAGCAGGAGGAGGAGGAGTAGGAGGAGGAGGACGAGGAGGAGGAGGAGCAGGAGCAGGAGGCAGAGGAGGAGGAGGAGAAGGAGGAGGAATCAGAGGAAGAGGGGGAGAGAGGAGAAAGAGGATGAGGATGAGGAGGAGAGAGGAGGAGGAGGAACATGGGGAGGAGCAGAGAGAGGAGGAGGATGCCCTGCTGCATGCTAGCCCAACCACTCGCCTGAGACATATTCGCGCCTCTGGGCCCCGAAACGCCCTCAGATGGCCTCAGCCGGTGTTGTTCGGTCGCTCCCGCTCAGGAACTCCTCACCTCTTCCGACTTGGCGGTGGCCCGCCCCATGTCCACGCGCACGCACCCCGCCTACATTCGACAGTCACAAGGAACAAGGTGCACTGCGCGAAGCGCCAATGCAGTCTTGCACATCTCTCTCTATGTATGTGTATATATATATATCCATATCCATGTATATACACACTCTTTCAGTTATGTTGCGTACACGCATACATACATGCACGTATCCATGCGTAAATGCATACTACATGCACACACACTTACACACATGCACGAATCCATACATACATGCATATAGACAGGCGTACACACATACGGCCATTCATTCAAACATACATACGCGTATGCTTACACATGTGCATACAACCGCACACATGCATACATGCATGCAATGCAGCATACATACGCACTTACCTACATCCACGCAAACACACATCCATACATGTAAGCATAACAACATGCACACATCCATACACATACACATACACACATATATATATATGCATATATATATACACATTCGTACATACATACATACATACATACATGCATACATACGTACCTACATACATATTTGCATGCATACAGACACACACATCCATTCATATATGCACACATCCACACACTTACACACTCGTGCATACATGCATACATACATACACACATACACATACATCCATACATACCTACATACCTACCTACCTACATACTTACATCCATACATACATCCTTCCATACATGCATGCATGTAGGTATGAGTGCATACACCCACTCATACATTCACACATACACACATGTACACATACAAGTTTACATACGTACCTACATCCACACCCACATTGATACTGCATACATGCATACATACACAAACATGCATACATACACAAACATGCATACAGACAGACAGGCGGACAGGCTGACAGACAGACCGACAGACAGACAGACAGACAGACAGACAGAGAGACCAACATCCAAAATATATACACATTTATATATGTGTGTATATATAGGTGTGGTAGTTTTCACAACTAAGGGTTGAGATGTGAGCAGTTTTCGGACGTACTCATTTCTGGCTCGAAGTTTTTAGGGGCGCGCCTCCTCGTCCCATCCTCAGCCGCGGATGCTCGGCGCATTCCGCTTCGCCGGGCCGTGGCTGGGGCAGATCGGCGCCGCCTGGTTGGCGAGGCCGCCGGCGTGCCCAGCCTGCCCAGCGTGCCCAGCGGTCGACGCCCGCTGCGAGCCGCGCTGCGGGGCCTGCCCGGCGTGCCCGGCTTGCCCTGGCTGTCCGGCGCTGACCTGCAGCGCCCCGCTGGAGCTGTTGTGCCCGGCGTGTCTGGCGGCGGCGTGCTCGGCGGCCGAGCCACGGGCGTCCGCGCCCTGCCCTTCGCCTGCCTCGGCCGAGGGCTGGGGCTTCGAGGTCGGGTTCGCCCTCGGCCTGCTCGCCGGCGTGCTGCTGGCGGAGGCGGCTGCGGTGTGCTGGCTGGTGCTGCGGCGGCTCGCTTGCCACGTAGTCGCGTCGTTGCGCCCGGGACGCGACCTCGAGCTTGACGAGCTCGGCGAGGAGGCCCGTGCGCAGGTGAGAGTGCTGCGACAGCGTGCCCTCGCAGTTCAGCGATGGCTGCGCCAGGCCCTCCGGCACACGGCTCGCTTGCGGCTGCGTGCGTGGCCGTCGGGGACTTCGTCGGCGTGCAGTACAGTGTTGGAGGGAGGGCGCTCATCCACGAGCGCGTCGTGGTGGCCCTGAGCCTTGGCACCCCTGTCACGGCGGTGATCGTCACGGTCGACGGCGACGAGTACGTCTAGCGTCTGGCAGCTCATCGGCAACGCGGGCGTGCTCTACTGGGACCTGCTGCCAGGCGGGGCCCCAGGCAGGGTCTTCCCGTGGGCGCCAGCGGCGCGGTACTGCCGCTTCTGGGCGATCCCCACGGCGGCGGCGCTCACCGCTGCTGCCGGCCGCGCCCGCGCTCGCCTGGGCCTCGCGGCGCTCGCCAGCCCCGTGGTGCCCAACGTCGCGGGGCGGGCCCCCGCTGCGGCAGACCCCGCAGAGGCACCTGCGGGCGCCCTCGCACCGCCTGCTGACGGCGCGCCGGGCCCTGTGGGCGGCGGGGTTGGGGCGCTCGTGGCTGCGCTCGGAGGCCCAGCCGGCGGCGCCGCTGGAGGCGCGCTCGCCCCGGCGCCGGCTCCCGCCGCCGCCGCGGCCGCAGGTGTCCCCGCGGCCCCTGCCGTCTGACGGGCTCTCGCGCCGCCCGCGGGGCCCGGCGTGCTGGCCCCAGCGCCGGCGGGGCCCGCGGTGGCTGCTGCCCCTGGCATCGCGCCGCCCGCCGCGGTGCCCGCACCCGCGGGCGTGCTGGCTGTCGGCTTCAGGCCAGCCCAGGCGGCGACGCCCGCATCTTCGCCGTCGCGAGGGACGCGCGAGGAATGAGGCGGGCCGACTTTCGCGTCATGGTTGCCCAGATGGTCGAGCTCCCTTGCCCAGACTGGTCGGTGCGCGGTCCGCGCGCGTTGCTGTTGGTCCTGGGGTGCATGGCGCAGAGATCGGGCACGGCGACGGCTTATCATCAGCGGTGGTTGGCGGGGACAGGCTGGACCCTGAGTCGCTAATGAGATGGGATGTATGGTCCTGGAGTCAATGGTGACGCATGACCAGGAGCACGCCACGAACCCGGCCCACCTGGAGCTCGTCGCGCGCTCGGCGCAGGTGCAGGAGGAGCGTTGCCGCCGGCTGGTCGCCGTGAGGCTGGCGCGGCGGATCGCGCCGTCATGATGGGCTCGCAGGAGCTCGACGGGTCGGTGGGCGCGTGCCCCACCTTCCGCGACCACCTCACCCTGGAGCCGCAGCGGGAGATGGCAGGGGCGAAGGCGAGGCGGAAGGCGCGCGAGGAGTGCGCCTTCGCCGGGGGCGTGCCCGGCCAGTGGGGGGCTCGGCGCGGGAGGGGGAAGCGCGGCCGCGGCGGCTGGGGCGGCGGGCCCAACGCCGCCAGGGGCGATCGCCGCTGGGGGGATGGCCTGGCCAGCCGCCGTCCGACCCCCCCTCGGCCCCCGCGGAGCCCGCCAACAGCGCGGGCTTCTCCCTTGGCGTCGCTGGTCGCCGATTGCAGGGCGAGGGCCGGCGCCGAGGCCTCTTCCCGCTGCCGCTGCTGGTTGCTGCTGACGTGGCGCCCAGCGTGTCAGGGGCCCAGCGGCGCGTCGTGCAGGGCCGGCCATGCCTTCGCGCACTCGCTTGGCCGGGTCAACGCCGCCGCGCGCGCTTCTATGGCGACCGGCCCTCGCCCGCGCCAGCGCCGCCTGCCTGGCAGCGCTGCGCCGCCGCTCACATTTGGGACTCGATCGTTGCTCTCGGCCCGGGGCCGCCTGTGCGTCGCGACGACGTCTCCGACCCCCGCGGGGCTCTCCTGGAGCTCCTTGCTGGGTCCGCGCCGCGCCCTGATGGCGGCGGGCCCGCCGCCCCCTGCGTGCCAGACCTCGTCTCCTGGCCGGGCGCGTCGCAACCGCCTGCGCCGCCCTTAAGGCGTTGGGCGAGCGGGGCTCCGCCGCGCTGCGGGAGTGGAGGTGCCGAATGCTTCGCGAGCCCGAGGAGGCGCGGCAGTTGCGGGCGGAGGCGTGCCCGCAGGGTCCGTGCGCGCGTCCTGCGCTGCTGCGCTCGCTGCCCGACTGCGCCGCTTCCCTCGGCGCCGTGATGGGGCGCGACATGCCGACGTTTCCCCCTGCGCGAGGGCGCCGGGGCAACGTTGAGGGTCATCTTCGACGCGCGGCTGGCCAACTGCGCGTTCATCGACGCGCCTCGCACCCAGCTGCCGTAGGCATCCGCCTGTCCGCCTGGGCGCGGCTCGAGACGAGCGACGTGCGGATCTCCATCGCCTCGGCGGACTTGGACGTGGCCTTCTACCACGCGCGGGTCTCAGACGGGATGGGGGAGTTCTTCACGTTGCCGCCGATCCCCGCAATGCGCCTCGCGCCCCGCGGGGTCGCCGTGGATGGCGTGAAGGGCGAGTCGCTCGCGTTGCCTCGGGTGGTGGTGCTGCCGATGGGCTTCAGCTGGGCGTTGCACCTCTGCCAGACGTTGCTGGAGGCATCGCTGCGTCGCGCGGGTTTTCCTCGGAGTGACCTCGTCCTCGACGGCCACTGCGGCTGCCGGCTCACGAGCGACCGAGTCGACTCGGTCGCGGGCGCCGGCTGCCCCCCAAAGATTGTGGGCGAGCGGCTGCAGGCCGTCGCCGACGACTTGACGCGCCGCGGGCTCGCCGTTCACGAGCTCGAGGCGCCCCCCCAGGACCTCGACTTCGCTGCGCGCGTTGCGCTGGCTCAGCCTCGGGACCCGCAATATCTGGCGATTGCGCGGCCATTCGCGCTGCGCTTTGGAGGCGGGTCATCGGCGGCTTCCTGCCGCGGTTTGACCGGCCACGTCGCTTGGGCGCTGCTGCTGCGAAGGGAGTTGCTGTGCACCCTGGGGGCCACCTGCGCCTGCGCCGGGGCCGCGGGGCCCGCCGCCGCCCCGCTTTGGCTCGCTGTCCGTCGCGAGCTCCAGCTAACCCAGACCCCCGACGTCGTGATTTTTTCACATCGTCGACCCCCAGCGGTCTGAACCCCTTCCCCAGGACCGGTTTTTCATCCTGAGTCGTTCTCTGACGGTCCCGAGGCCCGGGGGGGGCTCCAGGAGGCCGAAAATAGCGAAAACCTCCCGTCGTGATTTTTTCACGACGCCAGGAGGTCTGGGAATTCACGATTTGCTGCCGCTCTGCGCTGCAGACCTTGGCGCCCCGTGGCGCGGGCCGGTCGCTCGCGCGGGCGCCTCGACAGTTGGGCCGGGGGTCGTCGCTCGAAGGACTGCGCGAGCGCCGGTGGAGGACGTTGCTGAAACGGGGAGGTGCAAGGTCGAAGGCGGCGCGCGGGCAAGGCGTCGGACGGTCGGGCTCGGCGTCGATAAATCGTCCGACCAGTTCTGGGGCGTCGAGGTCGGCATCGGGGATGGCGCTCATCTCGGGGGTGGGGGTGTCGCCGAGGGCTCGCCGGTCGAGGACGTCCAGGGCGGGGCCCCAGAGGGCCCGGTCGAGTCGCAGTTGCCGAGGGCCCTTAGGGACACCGACGAGTCGATCATGGACATGTGGCCCGCGGTGGACTTCGACGAGGTCCCACCCCACTTCGTCCGGGGGCCTGCCTGGGACTCCGTCGATGCCGCGTGCGCCGAGGGGAGGGCCGACATCTTGGCTCTGGAGGGGGAGGCGCTCGTTCTTGGGTATCGGCGCCTTCCGAGGTCCACATCGGCCGGCGTTCGGGTCTCGATTTCTCATCCTCTCCGACAAGCTGCCCGCGGTCCTATCCGCGGGTTAAGGCCGTGCCCGCAGTGGACATATCCAATGCGCGCTTCGCATGATCTGCGCGCTTTCCGTGGCCACTGGCTCTACCCTTGCAGCGAGGTGGACTCCCTCCGCCGCTTGGCCGCCCCGACGCCGTGGGCGTTCGGGGCCGAGCGAGCGGGCCTTGCGCGGGCGCTCGCGGCGGAGGTGACTGCGGTGGCGGGTCTGTCCCTGCTGGAGCGGCTGGCTGCGAGGAGCTCGACGGCTCGCCTCTGCCGCGGGGCTCTCGCCAGCTTCGTCGAGTTCTGTGTCGGGCGCCGCCTGGGCTGGGCGACCCACTCAGGCCTGGGCGAGACGCTGGTGCAGTGCATGGACAGCGAGTTCCTCGGCGGCGGCTGCGGCAACCAGGGGGCGTTCTCGCGGTGGCGGTGGCGCACTTGCTCGGCTCGCTCCACAAGCGGACTTCGCTGCTGCTGCTACCGAGGGCCCACCGCGCGGCGGCGGCGTGGGCGCGGCGCGCGCCTGCGCGCGCCCTGCTGCCGCTGCCGCGCCGCGTGGTGTTTGCCTTGGCCGGCCTCCTGATCCACGACCGGTTCCTCAGGCTGACCATCTGCGTCCTCGTCATGTCCGCCGTGTGCCTCAGGCTTGGGGGAGCGGCGAAGCTGTGCGGGCGCCGCCTGATTCCGCCGTCGGAGGCGGCGGGCGCCTGCTACCAGTTCTTCGGGCTGCTCCTGCACGAGAGCGGGCGGGTGCCAGGCGAGACGGGCGCGAACGACGAAAGCGTGCTCTTCGGCGGCGAGGCCTGGCTCACCCCGCTGCTGCGCGCTCGGAAGCAGTCCACAGCGCAATCGGAGCCGCTGCGTGGCCAGGAGGTGGGCCGACTGGGTGCGCAGTTCGCTCGGGCCTTCCGTCGGCCTTCGCCGGGTCGGCGTCGCCCTCGCCCGTGCAGCCTGCGCCGCGGGGGGGGTCCCGGACGACGTGCTATCCCAGGGGCGCCAGCTGGCCGAGATACAGCGTCGCGGATGCTGGCGGGCGGCCGAGAGCTTGGACCGCTACGCCAAGGAGACCAAGCTGCTGGACGAGCTCGCCTATATCCCGCCCGGAGTGATGGAGCTCGGGGCTTTCGTCGAGAGCAACCTGGAGGCGCTGGTCAGCGGCTGCCTGGCTAGCGACTGGCCGCGCCCTGGCTGCCGCGGTGCTGCCCCTCCGCCCGCGCTGCCTCAGGGCGGGCCGCCGGCCGCCGGAGGTCGCCGGCGAAGGCGGCCCGCGGCCCGGGCGACGGCGGGGGCAGCCCGCCGGCGGACGCGGTGAAGCGCCACCTGCAGCGCCAGCATCGGCGCGCTGCCGCGCCCGGCTGGGTCCTGAGGCGCCGCCCTGTTCTGGAGCTCTTCTGCGGCGCCGGCAGGGTTGCTGAGGCGTTGCCCGCCTGCGGCGTCGCCGCGTGTGGGCTCGACTGGCAGCGCGGCCCGCTGGGGGGCCACGTGCGGCCGGCCTTCGTCGCCGCCGTCGTCGGCTGGATCCGCTCGCGCGCGGTGGGGGCCATCTGACTGGGCACCCCTTGCGCCGGCTGAACGCGAGGGCGCGAGCGTTGCGGCGCCCGCTCAGGTCTGGCCGCC